TGCGTGAATTTTGGGACACCCTTTATATTGCAGAGATATGCCGCTCTGATATAATAGATTACCGCAATTGCTAGGTCATACCGGAGCCGGTCTCGTATCGCCTTGAGTCGCTCTTTCCTAGTACCCACTATACTGTTTTGGTGAATAATAATAGGATACTAATGGTTACTGCTGGCCTGGCCAACGCCTTTCATTCTTCTCGGCCTTCACCTGGTACCGGTGATTCACATTATGCTGTGCTGTACCAGCACCAGTGGTGGAGAGACCTAATTGAAGATAATAAGATTAATTTTCTTAGTATAGCATACTTACATACATACATGTCAAAGCCTAGGCAGATCCTTTCTGAACTGAAGGTATTCTTAACTAACGAGTTCTCCTCTTTAAATCATAATGTCAATGCGGGTGTTCTCCAGGGATCGATTTTGGTTCCAACATTCCTGCACGATAACTTCTATCAACAACTCCGCAGATACAGCACTTTATCTGCAGGCATTCGTAGTGCTAGACCGAAAGAGCTGGAACCTATAACTGCCTGTAGATGCAGTAACCCGGTTAAGTGCTCCTAAGCCACAGTTACTTCAAGTAATCCAGAATACTCAATTGCGCATCCTGATTTAATGGATGGTCAAGCGTTAGTGGAAAGACAGACAAGCTATCATCACTTTGTACAGATAAGACTCCACCTGGAATACTGTTCACATAGCTAAGCTGAGAATGGCTGCCTGACAACTCATTGGTAACACTTCCTCAAAAGGGAGAGCTTTCATATTTACAAGAGTCGGTGCTCTTCTTCATGATGTGTCGCGTTATAGACGGAACTGTCATGCGTCTGCTCCTCACTGTAACTCGGTAGAGATATGAACATCGACAACTGGCATATATGACCGCTCCTATGCTCCTAGGGTATCGACAATTTGGACCAATTTGCCAAAAGGAGTTGTTTCAAGTTCTCTACTCTGCTTAAGCTGCGCATTCACGTACGGGTATTGAGAGAATCGGGGACCCACGAGTCTGAGTGAAAATTATCACTCGCACCATTTTCCCATTCAAGCCCCAATCGATCTATGCAACTGTCTATATTTCACATATAACCAGGTAAATTCTATGTATATATTGACTTTCATATTCAGTCTACAGCTTGTCAGTCCCCAACTCCTTCGATGTGGGTATATGTGCAACTGTAAACATTCGAAACATCGCCTTAACAATCAAATTTTCTCCAATGGTATCAGTCATTATGATGTAATATCTTTTTACAGAAATTATGACGTAATAAAGTTTTGTACTGATATTGATCATCTGTTCTATTCGCTAGATAGCCAACATATCGATTTTTTGCAACCCCAAGAAACGGAGCTAGATCTGCTAATCCTGCAATGCTATTGTTGTTCAGCTTAGTTCATAACTGAAAATAATTTTGCACAGGAGTGAATCATGAAGCCATCCATTAAAATGGAGCTGTGTCCTTGCTTATAACAAACGAGACCATACATCAACAAATGCTAAAATTATTCTTGAAAGTAGTACGTAATAGGTGTTGTATTGTGTTGAATGTCCTCTATATAGCACCCGGATGAAATATGTAGGTATTATGTGTTTAGTCGCCCTCATTTCAAAATTGTTTCACGCGCAAAATTCGCTAGACAAAAGGTGTGGTTCCAGTCCTACGTGTTCGCTGGAACGCCTACTACTTTGTGAATTACGAAAAAGGAGTTTCGTATTACGGATTGTCGTGCCGGTTTTTATGTCTAGTCCGTTTATGGACTGTAGACCTTATGACCTCTGATCAAGATAGTATATAATTGCAACTTCTAGTTATTACTACCGAAGAAATGATACGCTTTGATCCTGACACGTCACTGTCCCATCACTGAAAGTGTTCTGTTATATCGATCATTGAAATAAAGAATTTAACTGTGATAATCAATATCGTACAAAATTGAAGGTACTTCTATACATGTGTATATTCCAATGTAAGCATAGATCAGTAGTAGTCACCTTATTCTTTTGTAAAAAAATTTAATAAACGGAAAATAAGTAAAATATTAAATTTTCTGTTGACAAAAGTTTCCTTTGCCCAGAAATAAATATATTTCTTATTTTTTTTTATTCAAAAAATGATCATCTACACCAACCCCGTATCTATAGTATTTCAAATTTTTTTTGTTGTATCTCAAAAATAATGAATAATTCATCTTGGCATTTCGATTTTTTCCTATACCCAGAGCATGTTACCTATAGTTTTCAAAGCACTTGTCTCGATTGAGCCCTTGACTTCATGTTCCTAAATTTCTTGTTCGTGTTTTGAAGTTCATATGCAATTACGAACGAATGCTTTTTTAGGACTAGGTATCCTAATGATTCTTATCAGGCTTCTTGAATCACATCAGACACCTTGTATTTATACCCTGATCGAATGGGAGGCAACGACTCAAAGACATGTCTTTGGTAATGAAAATTTTGTATCTTTACTATTGTATTTCTGGCATAGAAAAGATTAAAAGCTCCATGGTCGTAAAGTTTGGAATTAATTGTAGACTTGACTTGAAAAAACTTATTGTTTACAAATTTTGAAATCCAGTAACCGGGAAATATTACAATAATGAATTTTCGAGAATTTCACTTCATTTTAATCATTATAGCTGATAATAAAAGTACTTTATACATCAGCAACTGGTCGGTATTGCCACACATTGTACATAGAATACCAGGACGTCTAGACGAGTTCAAAAAAACCTGGAATAAGGAACATTACTGATTTTTTCCTGTACATCTATTGGTAATTGTATTACTTACTGCCTGAGTATTTAGGCTTTATGTTCATGACTACATGAATATAGGAACAAACAAAAGCTTCTCCAATTTCCCACCGATGCAATTAGATCGCTGCTAGATGAAAATGGTATTGTAACTAGGTAAAGACTATTAACTAGAATTAGGTGTAACAATTATCAAGAATAAATCGATATTCTAAGCAGAAAAACAAGTTTATTGAAATTAATCGATGTGATGACTCATTAAAGTAATATGAATGTATATCGATTACCATGATATTTATTATGACTGATAAAAAATAGATATACAAGGAAAGATTAGGAAAACAGATGACAGCAGAAATCGAATCCACGTCATGATTTATTTCTAAATTCTAATCGATAGCATCAAGCGTTATGTCTTGTATCTGAGATGTTTTAATTGATGAAAGAAAAGCTGCATTGGTCAGCTAGTGAATCACAATTCTTTTTCACACAAACAAAGATTGCCTTGCCCGACCTTATTTATACCTTCTTGTTCCAAAGCAACAAACTCCAATACTGCCGGACTACGCTACCGTAATGATTCGCAGCGTTCTAAAAAATGAGCGAAGGACTCCTCACTGCCACAGCTCTCACAAAGCGAATCTTCAAAAATCCAATCATGAACAACAATTTAAGTAGTTTTATCCGAAGACAGAATAGTGGTCTACCGACCTTGGCCATAGTTCCCTTAAAACAATGTTAATTTTGAATCCCCTCTTCCGTCATAAGAAACTACAACTGCGCATACGACGATTAGTTTAGAATGAAATGAAGTACCTCAAATGTTGCTGGAAATTTAGAATTGGAAGAGGCCTTACGCATAATCGAATAAAAACTCAGAGAAGAGCCGGAGCTAGAAGAAAGAACGAACCTGCCAGTCGAGTAAATAATGGAATTGTAACGTTCTGTTTGAAGAGCAACTACTGCCAAGTAAAATAATTCTACGTACAAGAAGAAATATTGACAATAGAATTACCATTGGCTAAAATTGTGGCTAACTTGTTATGGCTGCGATATGTGGACGACTTTATTATCTGGAATCATGAAAACAACCAGCTGCGAAAATTCCTTAAACATCTCAACAGCTTAAGACCATGGATAGAGTTTACGGTAGAAGAGGAAGAACAGCCTTCAATACCTAGATGTCAGGGTAACGGAGAACAATGGCTGGATAGAAACCTCGGAAGGAAGATCTGGAAAATAACGGATACTCAACAAGAATAGTAGAAGCTTTGCAAGATGATACTACAATCTGAAAGACGCAAGATCAACAACAACACACCCTTATAATACCGTTCGTGTAAGACATATCTAGTATAATAAGACGAAGAGGAAAAAGTGTTACATCGAAACCAGATTCCCAACGGATAGAACAAACACTACGGGGCATTCTCACAAAAACCAAACCTAGGAATGAAAATCAAGGCATCAAGTGCTGTATATATGTACCAGGTTCCATGTGAATGTGGAAAAGTTTACATCAGGGAGACAAAGAGACTACTGGCTATGAGGATAAAGGAACACCGACTTCACACTCAACGGGCTGAAACAGAGAAATCAGAAATAGCAGAACACACATGGAGAGAATACCACCAAATACCATAAACTTGGAATACACCAAGATCATACATAAAGTAGCACACTGATATCGCCGAAAATTCAAGGAGATAGCTTACATAACCAGCAACAGCAACGTATATTGTAATTCCAGCGTAAAAATCAAACTAATATGGGAGCCTATCATCAGCAGGATCGAGACGCTATGATTAGAGCAACCAGGGCAGACCTCTCGAAGAGCATGTCGTGACTACCGACCAGCCACATCACGCCAAACCATAGGAAACGTCAGCGATAACAGTATAAGTAACCGTAGAAGGAACATGTATGTCAGCTCACCTGAAGACGATTGAAGATAAATTACCATTGTTCTGATCTCAAAAATTGTATAGACAATGGAAGTCCGAAATTCAATTTCTTTAACCTCAAATGCCTCGCATTTTACTCCGATATAGTGAAATACCAAATTTATATATATTATTAAGTCAGTTATTTCCTGGAAGGTATTTCTGACTATCAGATACAGTCATCCAAATAAGTTAATGATATGACTTTGCCTCGTTACTTACTGAATTTCAGACTATCAGAAATTAATTGTTGGAAAGAACCATTATTAACATTTGTGATGTATTTTCTTTTCAGATAGTTCCACTCCTAGCAGCATTACTGCTGAGTAACGCAGACGCTAGAAGGATAAGGGTACAACCGCCACAAGAAGATGAAGCAGAGCCCCAGGATACTATCAACTACTACGCGGCAGAACCTCAAGAGGAAGAAGGGCAACAACAGCCACAGGTGGTTTTAGTATCTTCAGCGGATAGGTACGTATCTGGAATAGCAGAAATAGTTATAGTTGTAGTCAACGTTCTTGGCGGTTCAAAGTAAGATCACCAGTATCCCTTTATATATCTCATCTCCCTCGTACATACACAGGCAACCTACCCCTGTGTGTGAACGTTTGTTCGGTAAGCCCAAAGACGTACGTTTTTTAGTTGTATGTCTCCATCTCGAAAACTTTTTTGTTACGTAGGAGTTCCCTTCAATCATATTTGTCAGGGTGACATCTTACTTGACGTTGCAATTCGAGTTGTCCTGTTATCAATCTTGAATATAAAATTGTACAATGCCCGGCAATACGATCAATGGAGAAGGCCGATAGCTCGTGCTAAATTTACTAGAGTATTTCGAGGAAGAGAATGAAAACAGCTGTCCCATCTTACCCTTTTCATGCGTACTGGAAAGAGTAGCAATGCGCTGAATATTTAGTCAGCGCAGTGTTCCGCCCATGGTACGGAGACTCGATCTGTTTACTTATTTCATATGGCGTTGATGACGTAACCGCTAAGAACGGTGACTACAACAATATCAAGCTATATCCACCTCGTTAGGTAAAACGTAAGTCACTAATAGGGGATTGGACAGAAACTTGATACCGAAAAAGGTATTTCTCATAGAAGTGATGTATCACCTAAGCTATATGTCTGTCTAATGCTCAAAAATTTCAACTAGTTATTTATTTCTGTCTCACACCCAATAGATGTGAAGTTCTGACTGCAGTGTCTCATCAATAATAGCAACCAAAATGCCAGGATTCTCGGTTAAAAAACGTGGATATTAGTAGATATGTACAAATATAATTTCTTTCACTACTAAAGATAACATATTACCACATTTAGATCGATTGGACTTTGTAATATTATAATATAGCATATCTGAGAATCACACGAAATGTCTGGATCACAGAACGATGCCTAGGATCAACAAAAACTTATGTGATCTGTGCGATGTGCAACGGTTTTTTTGAATGCCGCAAATACACAGGAAGTCTGTGCTACACTTACCAGAGATGGCTTTAACCCTCCATATAGTAAAATACATATGCTGGCTCTAAGGAACAACACTGTTGTTTTGGACATCATGAAGGAAACAAATGTAATATAATAAAATATTTAGCTTTCGTATACCTTCTGTCTTTCCTCAATGTTAATTAATTACCTTCTTTCCGTGGTCCTTTCTTGTGCGTCTAGTAAAAATTCCAGGATAGACTCCCTGGCGAGAATATTTTGCTTCCCCCATGTTTTCCTTTCGTACATCTTCAGATTATTTCCTCTATTGCAGGCTAGGTTAATGAATTGCTGATTTATATGAATAGTGACAGACTGCTTGGAAATCATTATGCTCAAATGCAAAAAAAAAAAAAACAATACCAGTTATAAAATAGACTCTATATTAACATGTAGTAAGCAATATGTATTAGAAATATTCAAAAAAGAATAGAGGGTTTAATAGCAGTTGCAGTTCTGGGCCAAGTAAGCATTTACCTAGAGATCTTTCCACTTCATTATTATTTAACTAGGACGAGAAATGTGACTCCTCCTTATTATCTCACTGCGTTAAAATTATTGTTCGACCAAAGTGCCTCCGATGTTAGTACAATACAACTCCATGGCATACGTAGGTCACACTCTAAGAACAAGACATGGATAAACATTACGTCACGCTAGACGATTCATCACTTGTCATTTCTCATCCATAGAAAATAGTGAAACCACTAAGAATATACTTTTTAATGGCAAGATATTGATGTTCCATCGAAATAATAATTCAGTTTTATCAAAACTCGAGATAGTCAGCTTCGCGATAGAATAATGCTTTCTGTTATTTGTTTATATCATTGTTTCAGATATAACGGCCTTTACGGGCAGCAGTCAGCCTCCTCTCGAAGAGAAGACAACCTAATACATCGCGGGCACACCAAAGGTACCAACGAAGTAGCTAGAACTAAGGAGAGCAAACCTCCGGTACAGACGATCAGAAACTATAGCAAAGTGAATGATGATGGATCATTTACGTTCGGGTATGAAGCAGCAGATGGTAGCTTCAAGGAAGAAACTAGAGGTAAAGCCATTTATTAAAGTTAAAAAAGGAAATAAGCAGATGTCGGAAGAACTTTTTAAATATAGTTTTTTTTTGGACGACCAGTCAGGCTTTTTAAAAATGCGAGAAGTATCCGTTTGTCAATTAATGCTACATAAGCAGGAGTGCTGGCAGCTCAAAGCATGGGCTAACGTACGAAAAATTAGATTTTGAAAAAAGTAGTGAGAAAATAGTGAGTTTATACATAAAAAGTGAGTGAAATTGAATATAATGCCCAATTTAAACGGATAATATAAATAAGAAGGTGTGAAAAAACGAGAATAGTTTTTATAAGGTTTTTGTTTCAATTATTGACCTAAGCAAAAATAATTATTCATATGTATGCATATTTTACAACCAAATGCATAAGATGCATAAAAAACATATCAAAAATATAACAAATTCTTGTAAATACGTGAGACGCCAACTAACAATTATTACTCCTATTAGGGTTGTAAGAACGATTATACAGTACCCCTTACACAGTATTGTATCTTCGCACAGCTAGACAAGCGGAATGGCCCCATCTAATAGGACACTTCTGTCATTTACGAGGTTGTATAAGGGATACAGTAACAGTTACAACAAAAGTGTTAACCTCTTGCAACCGCTAAAGAACATTTGCGTCAGTGCAAGATTCAATTTTTGTCAACTATACAACCGTTCTGTTGCATGATTCTACTTTATTGCAACCAAACTACTTCTTATGTATTGTATAGACGAAGTGAAGAATATATAACTAACACATAGTCATCTTGTTTACTTACATATCGGCCAGTGTGTAGAGATGAATGATAAAGTTCTTCACCGCCATATATAGCTATTGAATAACTTGCGCAGTAAATTTTATTGTGATTATCCTATAAAGTAGAGACGCAATTGCTACGGGCTTCGGATTTGGTTCATATTTTTAATAATGATCAAAAATATGTCTAGTTTTTAAGATGAAAATCTAAGCTTGTCTGTATTAAATCTTCCTCATATCCTATATTTAGACACAATTACATTAGTTTCATTTTATATCTGTAATATCGGACTGAACAGAATTATTTGATTTTCAATAGAGGAATATGTTTATTACCCAATATGGCGGGTGGTTATGTGTAATCATGGTATCGTCCGTATTGTCTTTGGTTTATTAGAACAGTTTGGTGTTATCTGCAGGTGTTATACAGCAATTTGACAAATATCTGAAACGATATACGCTCTGAGCCAAGTGCCTTACTCAGAGTGTGTACCAGTTCTATATCTCCTGTTTGATGCCCTCTCCAGACTCACGCGCGAACTACTCGCGGCCCATGAGTGTGGATCCCGTTCGCGTATTCTTCGCGGCTTCACCTCGCGTTCGCACGTTAATCCCGTTTGTTGTCGGTTTTTTGTCCCGCGACAAAGGGTTCACAAGGCGGGAACATACAACAAACGCTTCGCACGTCATACTACCCTTTTTTGTGACAATACATTTTGAGCCTGGTGGTAAGTGATCAGACCATTCAGGTTTCAGTCTTTGACCTTTGAAAAGGATAAATGGTGGCACAGACTGACCTAGCGCATTTCCACAACCTACAAATTGTAACGTTCTCGCCATGTTCAGGAGCAGTTAAATGTACCCGCTTAGACCCTCTCTTAGCTAGTACAATTTGCTGATTGTGTATTGTTAATCTGCATCCCTTCTCGTATATGTTGTATATGTTACCTGGTTTGTCAAACAAGCCCATATTTTCCATAACATCCTTTAATTTGCTGAACCAATCACCAACTATAGGTTTATTTAGTTTTTGAGCACGCGCAATGTTCATTTGTTGTGCCCTCCGGCGAGATACTTCAGGATGTCTAGTTAGGAACAGCTTCAACCATTTTCTTCCAGCACGTTTTGATTGCTTCGAAAACGGATTCGGTATGTTGTTTTCACAAACGTAGGTATATACACTTTTCATCAAAACTTTGCTAGTAATAGGCATTCCGACTTCAGATAATCTATGAATTCTCGTAACAAGATCATTTTCTTGTTCCGGAGACAGAACTGAAGACCTTCCAAGCTTCTTTTTGAAATTTTGTATTCTATGATGTAGTCCTAGAGTTGTTTGGGGAATTCCATACCGCTTGGCAGCACTTTTGATTGAAGTGCCATTTGCTATGGCCAGTAATGCTGAGTGGAGGTCCGCTTCTGTCCACAATGCCCGTGTCTTTGGCATTCTGGAAGGAAACATTCGTGCATTTTCAAATAACATAGCTGAATTTTTTGAATTCTTGCTTGAATCCTAATGTTGCCATTGATGCCTCTAATATTGCCACTGGTGGTCCTAATACTGCCACTGGCTGTATTAGGTATACCATTCTATGGCAATATTAAGAACAAATGCAATGCAGAAAACATTTCCATTTATATTTAGAAAAACATACAGAATCAGATACATAACCTGTGGAACAATAACTATAAATATGCACCTACCTGCAGCAGTATAGAAATTTGAACAGTAATGTGTTATAATTGTGCACACGCCAGGTAATGAAATGATTTTCTTATAACAGAGAACTAGAACAATTTTTGGCGCGCATCCACACCAGACGCTTAACCTCATCTGAAACCGACAACGGTGGTAAGGAATATATGGCTACCCCAAAAGACGTTCCATGTTGCCAGATTTCATATAATGTCTGAAAAATATGCGCTTCCTGGGGTGGCGTTATTAGGATCTATGGCAATATTTGGTAAACTTACCTTACATCAAGGAGGAGAACTCAAAAGTCCCGACTTTATTTCGGTGACCTCTCTGCATTGCCAAGAAGAACCATTGTATTTCGATTTTATGTCGGTGAGTTCAATGCTACGTCAAAGAGGAAACCTTAAATTCCCTACCTAACTTCGACGATTTTAATCCCACATCAAGAAGGAAAACGTATAAATGCCAACTTTATTTCGGTGACCTCGCTGCATTACCAAGAACCATTATATTTCAACTTTATGTCGGTGATTTCAAGCTTCATCAAAGAGGACACCTTGAATTTCCTATCTAACTTCGGTGATTTCAATGCTACCTACATAAAGAAGGAAAACTTGAAAATCCCGACTTTATTTCGGTGACCTTACTGCATTGCCAAGAAGAACCATTGTATTTCGACTTTATGTCGGTGATTTCAATACTACGTCAAAGTGGACACCTTAAAAACCTTACCTAACTTCAGTGATTTTAATGCTATATCAAGAAGGAAAAATTCCGGCTTTAAGTCGGTGACCTCAATGTTATACGAAGAAGAACCCTTGACTCCGACTCTGTCAGAAGAACACCTTAGGCCAGTGATTTCAACGCTACATCAAAGAGGAAAATTATGACTACTAAAAGACGTATTTACTTTGAACATTTTTTCAAACCAATATCCCAAAATGAAATAAATAGCAATTAAATTTCTATTGAGAACGTATCAACCACTGCTCTTGATTGAAAGTTGTAAATCCCCAACATTAGGTACCGTTCAAAGTAAAAACATAAAATCAACAAATCTCTGAGTATTTGATATAATTGGTTTTCATGTGTTAGGTATATATTTTTATGTACTTCTGATATACAACTGCAATTTTCCTTGATCTTCGATGTTATGAAGCCAAATACCCTGCAATCGCCTGTTGTACTCATAGATTAATTAATTGCACTATAAGATCCCAAACACATTTTCAACGGCTCCGTCGTTCCAAAGCTCTCCAGCATAAACGATTATATACCTATAAAATTACTAAAACAGAAAGTTTCTTAAATTATTCTATTAACTATAAAAAAACGAATATCGTTTACAGGAACCGATTGTGTAGTACGTGGAAAATATGGCTACGTAGATCCAGATGGTAATAAACGAGAATTTACATACGTATCTGGAAACCCATGCGATCCCAATGCTCCCAAAGAAGAGGAACAGGAACAGGAACAGGGTACGTTAAAACTATCAATACAAAGGCTTGTTATGCTGTCAAATAGTGTCACTTGGCAATGTACGACACGCGGATGCCTGTATCTGGATGCTGTTAGAAATATAAAGAGAAAGGATACACCCGTATGTCGAACATTGTCGGATTGGTGATACTGTCACGCGACACAAATCTCTTTATTTTTCTCATTATTTTAAAGAAAGCAACGAAACAGAGAATGGTCCCGCGAATTACCCTACAGCTCCTATTCAGCCAATTAGGAGACATCCCCCGCCAACAGCAAAACCCGCAGTGACACTCTTCCAGAACGCCTACCAACAACAAACTGAAGCTGAAGAAGAGGAACAACCTGAACCTGAACAGGTTCTCAGGCCAACACCACAGGTAATTTACAACAACTAGTGATATTCAGAGAAAAAGACGTTTGGAAAAACATCACTCAAGAAGCACCTGTTTAGTGAAATTTGCTCGATTAGATATCTACTATTTTTGAATCATTAAGTAAGACGGTTTACGTAATCTCTGGGTAACAAGATGTGACATATTGTCGAAACTTTTAACTAACAGAGAAAGATCCCCTGGCCAGTAACTTGGATTGCTTCAAAGAAATTTTGGCTTCCCAATTTATTCTACAATAGCATTTGTTCTAATACGTTTTTGTTTACCACAAAGAAGTCAGATGAGCGTAAATACAGTGATTAAAATTGGCAAGGGGCATGTCCTAGAGGTAGGGCTGTTCAAATAAAAGATGACCAGCAGAAAATAGTTGATTTTAGTTTTCAGCTCATTCAGCTACTGATTTATAATGTTTTTCTGAAAAAAATCATAATTCTAATCATAATGATTATCAAAAACGAGTCAAATATGTCTACAGCTTATGTCATAAACAGCTATCTGAGATACAAAATATCTCTAAGTTGAAGAGGAAGCTGTACTTTGAGCACATCACATAACAGCCTGTTTTACTAACGAAAATGTTATTAATATGCTATTAGTATCATTTATATCCATATAATCACACTTTCTTTGGATAAAATAGTAACACAATCTCTTACAAAAATTGGCACAGGGAAAAGTTGTCTACATTTGGACCATAGTAGTATACCCAAAGAGACGCGAAATTTTGTATAACCTCTACGGGTAGCATTTTTTACAGACACCACATACACACACCAAAGGGGTACTCAGTAAACCCTAATAACTAATCGACATAGTGCGATTTTGAAATTTTTATCCACATGATCAAATTCAATGAATTTGAGGATTTACAGTCACTCAAAGTTCAAATTAAAATAATGATAGACCCCGAAGAACATTATGAAAAGATGAAAATTGTAATCAAAATCTCGAAGCATTTCGGGGGTATTGGTTTTGTAAGCCTTTGTTTTTTAATTGTTAGTTAAGCGTCCGCTCATTCTATATTCAGTGTGAGTGCGAGAGATGCAGCTGGCGGCCGCCAGGTGTATTACGTAACTTGAAAAGTGACATTGTGTGGGTTTTTATGACATTATGTACATTTTCCTACAAGACGTCAACTTGGTACTAGCTGTCGTTCGTTTCATGCTCACTTGTAGTAAGCGCGGAATGAACTGTGTCTACACTAGCCTACCTAGTCAACAAGTTGACATGTTATCGGTTTTTTGACATTATACAGGTTTTTTGCGTAATAAACCTGCCTGCCGCCTCTATCCTGCATCTCTCTCACGCCCACGCAGAGTATACATCGAACAAAGGTTTACATTGACAATACTTTGGGATTTTATTAAAGGATGTTTGAAAAATATTTAGGAGCTTTGGAAACATTAGGATTTTCATGTTTTTCATATTGTTTTCAGGGGTAGTAAATGAATATCCTAAGAAGCTTAGAAACACTTGACTAGAGCGAAAAAAAATAATTATTGGAATTTGTTTAAAAATAAATATTAAATAATTTTTGACGAAACTCTGGGCCTAACAACATGCACATTCGTTGAAAGGGGTACTTTTGTAATAAAAATTTGATTTTTATTTCCCATGACCTCTTTTCGGTGTTTTTTGGTGAGTTGTGGAAAAATAATGTGACTTTCTTTGGTGCTTTGCATCCTACAGTATAGCAATATATCTAGAAATTCATATTTTATAGCAGGCTCCATAAGAAATTTGACATTGATAAGTAAATTTACTTATTTTCTAGTTCAAACTCCGTCCGCATACTAGTGGCCCCTCGCCAGGTTTCAAAATAGGAAAAGGTTTTCACTGATATTTAGTCAAACTATTCGACATTTCTCTTTCTAGCCTGTCCGTCGTCCGACACCCATCTACATAACCCGTCCGAGCAGCTACCTGTCAAACAGCGCCAGTGAATCCAGCAGCCAACCACAGGTATACCAAAGACAAGCTACCACCACACCAGCGCCTGCTTCAGTCATCTACAGAGACAGTGTATATCCCATTTCTGTTACACCAAGGCCTATTGCTACAACCAGAACACAACATGTACCCACCACAACATACAGACCGCAACTATTACAGGTACACACACAGCTCTGCAAGCTACGGTAGCTTTACTTCACCATCATTAATAGCGAGAAATCTCCTACCAAGGTTTTGTAGAACGAATTCCACAAAATGCAGCACATTTTTGCTATTACAACTCCCACATTATGTACATATAACTCCATTTTCTTTACTCATACAGTTGCATATGCACCAAACTTCCAGTGTTTTATCCGATTGCTTAGTTGTTTTGTAACTAAAATTTTATTACAATCTAACGATTACTTAACGGCCATCGCTTGTACCTTTAATTTCTTCGTATTTTTGGGATATATAGGTGTTAAAAAGTGACTTCTTCTAAGTTGCCAACGTTTATATTACATTTATACATTTATAAAATCGTAAATTAGGCTTTGAATGAAATAGTTAAGTTAAAAATATTGAGCAAGAAAATACACATAGACATAAAAACCACAAAACAAAAGCAATGACAATAAACGTGTGTATGTATTCAGAAGTTTTCATATAGTTTTATTAATCATAAAGCATGCGATAATTTCTTAAATACGAGATAGTCTAATCATATTAGACGAAAATACCCCTGGTTTGCGAAATAATTGTAAAGTCTTGTTTTATTCCTGCAAGTTGTTCAAGGGGGTATTCAAAACATGGACGCATAAATTGGGTACACCAATTTTTGTGGGAAAACCTTTTATTCGACAACAAAGAATGAGAAAACGTGTTTTTTGGGATTCAATCAAAAGTGTTGGCAGGAACGAAATGACTCTTTATATCAGATTTTTAAGTATTTATGAGACTGCAAAATGAGACCACACGTAAAAAGGTCCAACTAATAGCAAAAAAACCGAGGCAAACTGCAAACGCAGGTTTTGGCACTTGTTGGTAATGGTACGATGGTTTCTCGCAGATAATTGACATTCTTCAAATTCGTAGGATTCGTACTTCTAAATAACCACAACAAAATTGGAATAGATTTGTCAAGCAGTTTTTGAGAATTTCTAATTGTTTATCCCAAAACACCTGTTTTCCGGCCATCACTACTAGTGTATTGAGCAATATACAGGATTAGTTTAAAGGGCATTTTATAGCAGAATACACTATTTTACTTTGTCGATATGAGTTGCAAACCAATCAGGAAGATAAACGTTATTTTTATGCAGAAAAGGATGGGTTACGTTTTTTCTTCTAAACAACAAATTCTACCATTTCGTATTTGTGAGTAATTCGCTACAAAGGATGATAGACACATCCGCTTTGTTTTAAAATGTGTATAGTAACGTATGTTTTTCGAATATCGTAGCGCAATTGTTCAGTTACAAATACGAAATGTTTGAATTTATAAAAACAACAAAATAACATTTATCTTGCGGAATGGTTTGTGATTCATATTGGCAAGGTAAACACGTGTATTTTGCTATTAAATGCTCTTTGAACTAAACCTGTATATTGCTCAATAAACTCGTAGTGATGGCAGGAAAACAGGTGTTTTGGGATAAACAATTAGAAATTCTCAAAAAACTACATGACCAATATACTCCAATTTTGTTGATGTTATTAAGAAGTATGAATCCTACGGATCTGAAGAATTTCAAGTAGTTGCCTGAAATTATTGTCGCATTACCAACAAGTTCCAAAATCTGCCTTTTGACTCGTTTTTCAACGGTAACATTTTTGCTTTTAGTCGGATCTTTTTACGCGTAGTCTCATTTTGTAGGTCTCATAAATAACTAAAAATCTTATATGAAAAGTTTTTTGTCGTCAAATAAAAAGTTTTCTCACAAAAATTTGTGTAACTATTTTATGCGTCCATGTCTTAAATACCCTCTTTAATAACTAATTATTTCAGGGAAATTTGCTTATATGATTGGAGTAAGATCTGTAAATTAATGAGATGATTGATTGATGAGACTGGCAACGTAGCGTTCGATCAGGCAACACTGGAGGCGCCGGGCTTAGAAGGGGAACAGGTGGAGATGTGATCCGGCTTCAGTACAAGTTTGAACTAGCTCGAGCCATTTGGTTGTCCGTAACGATTTTTTTTGTAAAACAGTTTTTCTATTGTGTTCTAAAAATGAGTGACATCAATTTCGTGCAACGGTGTGCTATCAGGTTTTGCTTCAGACTTGGTCACAGTCAAAGCAAACTCTTGCTCTACTTCAGCAGGCCTACCGAGAGAGTGTTTTGCCAAGAGCCCAGGTTTTTCGGTGGATGTTCATCAGATCAAGTACAACTGGGTGTTGGATCACGATAATGCACCTTGTTGCAGAGCAATATCAATAAACGAGTTTTTGGCCAGCAAAAACCTTCCCGTGGCTGCTCAGCCTCCTTATTCGTCTGACATGAGTCCTTGTGCTTTCTCTTCTAGAAGTTTAAAAATCACCACAAGAGAACTAACTCATTTTGGGACAGTCGAAAACATTCAAACGACTGTAACCGACCAGCTGAAGGCTATATACTAATACTTTCCAGCGCTGTGCAGCTTTAGAAGGTATTTGGAGGGTGACAATATAAAATTGTAATTATATTTGAATTAAAGAATTAAAAAAATCAGTCTCATCACTTAATTTACAGACCTCGTATGTACACACTTTATTGTCATTGTTTTTGTTCTGTAGTTTTTATGTCTCTGAGTTTTCTTGGTCAATATTTTTAACTGAAATCTTCCATTTAACGCTTAATTGACGAAGAAGGCAAAAAATAAATTTCGAAACGTTGGCAATTCGGAAGAGCACATTTTTTAACACCTAGATATCCCAAGAATCCGAAAAAAGTAAAAGTTCGTATCAGACACAATGATAAGAAATTATTTCTTTTGCCTATTGTTTGTGAGGCGATGCATATAATGACGCCATGTGCAATGCCGCACGTCGGCGATCAGTTGTCTAATTCTCTTCAGTGGCTACAGAATGACCAATGAACCTTCTTCGGCTTGTCGGAAAATGGTTGAGACACCAGATTCTTATATTTCTCAACCATGAATGTTGTTTTCTGCCAGGGCCGCGCTTCCTCTCTATTATTCCTTGTAAGACCAATTTAGGTGTCGATCACTATATATTCTATATAGGAGGATGGGCAATCAACCAAGGTCATAGTACTCAGGCCGCATTAGACCCCTTTGTACGTTCTCCCCAGGGGTCACTCAGATCTGGACCAACGTTCCCCCAGAATGGATTCTCGGATTGATACCAAAAAATCAAATGTCTATCTCAACTTCCTGTTCACATCCTCGATATAAGGATGTGTCAACCAGTCTCATATTATAGAGATGATTCCTCAGCTGACAGTGTCCTCCAGTTGCAACGCCGGTTGCAAATCGCTGTTGTCTGGATAAAGACAGGTAGTTTTTTGCTACTTCCTCACTACGATGTCTGAAGAATTCCTTAGTTATTGAACAGCTCACAGATCAGATCCTCTTAATGTATGCCCCAAGTAGGAAACTTTACGTTGTTTCACAGTTTCCAGCATGTCTTTCTACACTACACCTCCGTAAAGCTTCATCATTTGTGATATGAGCTGTCTAGGGGATACGTAGTGGCCGACGAAGTGTCCATACTTCACAAGCCTCAATCCTATTCATACTACTTGCTTTGAGTGACCAGGTTTCAATATTCTATAGTATTGCGAACATATTACACATATTCTAATGCTCAGTGGCAAATGTCGGCAAATAAGTTAGTTCTTAAGTTTGAAAAATTCTTCTTTCTTTTTTATCTTCTTCCCAATCACACTTTTCACTTAAAATAACGCCGAGGTAGGTGTGTGTATGGGATTCTATTTAAGACTGGTTGTATGTATTCGATATTGTTAGCAACTATTGTGGTATCGTCGAGATTGTAAGTCATAAATAGCTACAAATTTATACAATCCGATAACTACTGCAGTAAAACGTTGCAGCAATTTCACCTCCTGCAACCAACACAAGACATTCATATCAACAGATATTATTTCTGCAATGGTTGGTGTCTTGTGATATGCACAAGATGCAGCTGTACAGTAACTTTTTTGTTATGCCGGTTCTTTTTTCTCGATTGTGGACTCTCATGTTACCACCGAGATCAATACTCATAAGTTGAAGCTTTGATTTGACAATAGATGCCACCCATAATTCATTATTTGCATTTAGTTTGGATAGTCACTTCAATCAAATCTATTTAGACAGTCTTCTTCGTTGATTAGTGACTACACAGTCAGTACTCATGGTGGAAGCTACTAATATAACAATTAGCATTAGAGGTTAGTGACGATACTTGTACATTGATTCAAAACAACATTTTTTACAATTCCAGGCGACAGCTTCTCCACGACCGAATCTTGTATACACGAAGCAATACCAACCATTGTTACCAACGTCAACGATTTCACCCATTAGGTCCCAAGACTTTTCAGCAGAATTCCATAGGTGAGACTAATATAACGGGTGATTTTTTAAAAGCCATCTTTTTAAAAGTAGAATAAAACAGCTAAAATAATGCATTATGTATACAATCGATAAACTGGTTCTTGCCATTTACTTTTTAAAGATTGCTTCACGCAAATGTTGACCACGGCTACGTTTCAAATAGTCGATACGGAAGGTCCAACTTTCCTCTACTTTTTCCAGCATTTCGACCTGAATTCCACCAATGTAGTCTTGTAAGGCCTCAATACTCGTAGTGTTGGACTTGTCCATATACGCCAACGATTTCACGTAGCCCCACAAAAAATAATCCAGAGGCGTCAAGTCGTATGATCTTGGTGGCCAGTTTACAGGGCCAAAACGAGGGATAAATTGCTCTCCAAATTGTCCATGTCTTGTTGAAACCACATGTCAACCAACTTCAGATCTTCCAATTTGGGCAATAAAAAGTTACGGATCATTCATCGATATTCTTCGCCGTTGACGGTAACGTTTCGTCCGAAGTCGTCAGTAAAGAAAAACGGCCCGATAATTCCACCTGCCTATAAGCCACACCAAACTGTTGTTTCTGGATGCATGGACATTTCTTGTATGGCATGTGGATGCTCATCACACCAAATGCAGAAATTGTGCTTGTTAACATATCAGTTTAGCCAAAAGTGAGCCTCATCGCTGAACACAATTTTTCGGTAAAACAGCGGATTTTCTGCGAGCTGTTGCATTGACTATTCACTAAAAATTCGACGTTGTGGTAGGTCATTTGCCTTCAAATGTTGCTCAAGTTGAATTTTGTAAGCCCTCAAACCCAAATCGACACGTAAAATTTTTCAGGTTGTGGAGTAATACATTCCCAACTGTTGAGATCTGCGGCGAATGGATATTTCACGATCTTCATTGCGAGTCCATGGTTGAATGTCCAATAAAAAAAATTTGGTACGAAATTTAGTAATAACACCTCTAATTGTGGGTTCACTATGCGGAATATGACGACCATAAAATGACCGTAACAGGCAAAACACACTTTTCACAGAGTACAAATTTTGGTAATAAATTTCTACGATTTGCATTCGTTGTTAGTTTGTAAGTCTTTCTATGATGTACTGGCATAGTATACTGATCAATTTTGACTTTGACAGATTGTGCTTATATGTCATTACATATCAGTATTGCCAACTTGAAAAAAAAGATCGTAAAAAATCACTCATTATACGAAATACAAAAAAATGTGAGCCCTATATGACAATGCCTCAGACAATTCCCATTACACCGTAACGTGTTATGCATATATCGTGTTTGCCCAGAATAGTCATAACCAGTTTCCTTTACTTATTTCTTCGCTATCGCTGGTAAAGACATATGACACTGACATAGTAGTAGCTTTGTGTCAAAATTGTATCAACATCGGCAGGTTTATTACGTGAACAACAAAAAAACGATAAAATGTCAACTTGTTTAAGTAGGCTAGTTAGTGTGCAAATAGGTCATTCCGCGCTTGCGACAAGTGAACGACTGCTAGTTTCAAGTTGTGACGTCTCGAAGGAAAACCTACATAATGTCATAAAAAACCTACCTAATATCACTTTTCAAGTTACGCAATACCCTTGCTGAGCAGCAATTTCACAATTACAGGAGTATAACGTAACTTGGAAGACAGTTTTCTTGACATCATGTAGATTTTTTATGACATTACAGGACGTCAACCTGGAACTATGTGTCGTTCACTTCATGCTCACTTGCAGCAAGAGCGGAATAGACTATTTGCACAATAGCCCACTTAGTCAACAAGATGACATTTTATCGGTTTTTCGACATTATGTAGCGCGTGTTCAGTGCGTGATCAGCACGTTAACATTTTTCAAGAAACGGTGAGCAACAACTGTTATTGGAGAGAATCGGTCGAGCCCATATGCAGGGCTAATGCCAAGTCAAGAACGTGGAGTGGGAGACGACACGGCGGTGCATGCATCATTGCAAGCCCTGTAACCTGCTCAGCGTTCTGGAGTCCGATCACGTCAAGTATGAGAATGAAATGACAAAACTGTCAACCAAAGCAGTTCTACAGAAACACCTACTATAAGAATCGGGCTGGATATGTAATGATCGTAGTATGACACAATATATGGTCAATGAAGGTCTTTGTTACGTTTTAAATCACAACAGCCCCAAATTTTGCATCGCGATCTTGTAGAGAGATGATTGAACTTTGGTTTGTTTTTTTGTGCAATTATTGAAATGTTAAATTTTAACCCGGAAACAGTCAACTTTAAAAAAACTCACCTAGCATACCATTACACTTTGTTCTGAATGATTGAAAGTACGTAAGCAAAAGTTATCGGTATGAAAAGGTTAATTTTTGTGATTGATTCATTTTTTTTAATGTGACCAATTTTAGTGGGTGCGACATGTTGATTGTTTTCCTCCCTCACAAAGGTGGTTGTGTTAAAAAATCTGATAGGTTCATTTTTCCATAACTACCACCGCATTTGCCTTGTCTAATGATTTTACCTTTCCACAGGTTCCAGCAAGAAAACAACATCCTCTCAGCTACCCCCTCCACTCTGGCTTCCAAGTCCGCCACTGCAACCTCCCGTCCATCCACCGCCTCAACTCCAATCTACTCCACCGCCCTGATATACGATCCCTCTACCGGCCAATACAACAACCAACTGTACCAATCACTACCGCAGAGCGAGGGTGACATCGTGCTGAAGCAACGCATCCAACCTTATGTTCACCAAGCCCAGGGCAAGTCTCCAGTGCTGAACGTGCAACAGTTGAGGGGGCAACACCAGCCGCTGTATCAGCAGACTTACAGGCCGCAGCCTTTGCCTTCACAGGTAATTAAAATAAATTGTCAAGTAGATTTACCTAGTACTTTATATGAATTTGATACATCATTATCTTTTTATTGTGGTTCAGATCATCACGTCTGAACCACAATACTGAGAGACGTAAACATTTGTAATGGGTGGGCCATTTAAAAGTTTCGATTTAAAAATAAAATAAAACAAAAACGGTTTGAGATATTGCCAAATTTATTTTTTTGTTTTGAAGTACAATTGTTCCGCTCAGAAATGAAATATTACTTCATTCAAATGGCTGCCGCGGCTGGCCTCACAGTAGCCCATTCGATCGGACCAATTTTCGAGCACTTTTTCGAGTGTTTGGGGCCGTATCTCGTCAATGGCATCACGAATGTTGGCCTTCAAATGGTCAATTGTCTCTGGATGGTCGACATAACACTTGTCTTTAACAGCGCCCCACAGGAAATAGTCCAATGGTGTCAAATCGCAGCTTCTTAGCGGCCAATTGACATCACCATTTCGACTGATTAAACGGCCATCGAAGGTTTCGCGCAATAAGTTGATTGTGGCATGCGATGTGTGACAAGTTGCACCATCCTGCTGAAACCAAACATTCTCCACATCAATACCATCAAGAGCAGGAACAAAAAAATCAGTTATCATGGTGCGATAGGTGTTTCCATTGACAGAAACGGTTGCGCCGTCCCCGTCTTCAAAGAAATATGGGCCAATGATGCCTCCGCTCCACAATCCACACCAAACAGTCACTCGCAAGGGATGCATTGGCTTCTCTAAGACCTCGTGTGGGTTTTCCGAGCCCCAGATACGGCAATTTTGCTTATTGACGTAGCCACCAATATGAAAATGAGCTTCGTCTGAAAAGATTATTTTTTTCGCAAAATCGACATCATTGATTAGTTGCTCGTTGGCCCATGTAGCGAAGGCAGAACGAAGTGGATGGTCACGCGGCTTCAACTCTTGAACCAATTGAACTTTGTAAGGCGTCATACCGAGATCTTTCCGCAAAATTCTTCGTAAACTGGTGCGGGAAATGTTCAATTCTTGGGAACGATGACGTGTTGACGTTGATGGATTTTCACGCACACTCGCAGCCACAGCATCGATACCTTCGGGTGTACGCACTGTACGAGCACGCTGACGTGTTGGAGCATCAACAATGAAACCAGTTTCACGCACTTTATTAATAAACTTGCGTATACCGGGCGCTGTTGGTGCTTCGTTGCGACCGAATTTTGAACGGCATTTTCGTGCAATTTCTGCCCAATTGTCTTTGTTTTGGAAATAAATTTCCAATATTACCCAACGTTGCTCAAGCGTAAATCGATTCATTTCGTTCAGCGGAGATAATATACTGAATTTTATGACAAATCAGATTGACATAAGTATTGTCAGCGTCAAATTAACACGTGGTTCAAATCGAAACCGATAGATGGCCCACCCGTTACACTTATTGATACATGAAGGAGTTTATAGGCATGCTCATTGTCGATTTTCACAATATTCAACTATAGCGGAAAATACAAAAATCTCCACCGTTATCGTCAAGCCGACAACAGCGCGGCCTGCCATCGCTCCACTCAACCTTTGACCGTCAAGAGACACAGACGTTTTATTTTACACCACCTGTTACCCGCAAATTTGTACGCTAAAACTGTTACTAACGTAAAACATTATTTTTAAGCAATTCTATAAACTTCCGATCACGTTTTGTATCTTTGATGGCAGTAGTAAATTTTCAACCAACTTGCATACTTAGGAAATTTTATTAGTATCAGCACCTACACGTTCCACAGGTGAAACCTCGGGAAAAACATCAAATCGATATTATATAGTATGTAGCTCAAAAGCAGCTTATCAAATTTCAACATTTTTGTACTCCCCGAAAATCTTTTTATTGCGCTCTCTAAGGAGAAACAATAAAATTTGGATTTTTTTCAAGCTTCAAAAATGTTAATGTATCAGAGTCATTGCATGTAAAAGCTATAAAATAAGAAACCCAATGTTCGTTGGATGAGCTATGTTCGAGCGGTGGTAACTTTAAATACGATTCTGTTTCGAAAAAAAACAGAACATGATGTCGCGCAAATATTGCTGGTATGATAAGTAATCGTTCATCGAGATGAAGGTTAAACGTGACGGTAGCCGAGCACACTTGGCGATTAGCGTTGTCATACTGCACGTTCTTGTTTTCTCAGACATTTATTTTGGAAGCATTACGTTGAGTAAGTGAACCTATTGTAGATGCTACACTGGTATAAATATTATAAGTGAATGTCTATTGTTAACGTATAATTAAATGACTTTTGAGTTGCATGGCTAAAGTGCCTACAAAATAGTGTTCATTGCAAGTAATTGAACGCAACAAAAAATATTAAGAAGTATTACTCATGTTACGTTATTTAACTTCAGAATGACAACGTCAGGAATCCACCCAGAGCGGATAGACTAGGAGATCGGTTTGTGCCGAAAAAAACCCTACGAGCATTTTTCGTGTCATTGTCTAGTAATAATACCATCGGAATTTGTGCAAACAGTTAGTTAGTTGTGATGTTGAACCGACAGTGTATCCTTTTCAAATAATATTCCATCGAGATCAAACAGAAGGACCTATATTTTTTGATCTGAAGAGACAAGCTATCTAAAAATATCATTTTTGTTCCATTATTGGTGAGGTGAAAAATGTTATCGGTTAAGAGTAGTTCGTTCCCGTCGAATTTAATGAGTCAAATATAAATAGTTGAAGACACCTGCCTTGAGAGCAGTTGTATTAAAAAGATGTGGGAATATAGTCGTTCAAAGATATCTAGACGAATACTAATTTCCAATGATGTCTTCAAATGCACCTTAGGCTCCAATTTATTCTGTAGATAAACCCAGGACATTTTCGTGCCAATTTGTCACGCTGGTTTACCTTTGTGATGCTCAAAGTCTATTATATTGATACCAAAAATACAGCGTGAACTCGAATACAATCTGAAACGGTTGAACACTTGCGAACGTCAGATCCTCAAAAACTGGAGATTTAGTTTCCTTCTTGTCAGCAACAACGTGTTGTTCCCATTTGTAAATGACTATATGATATAAACTCGTCTGTTTCTTTCAAGGCTTCCTACCAGCAGCAACAGGCTGAGCTTCAGTTCCAAAACTCCGCACAGCTATACGCGCAGCAGCAGAAAGCTAGACAGCAGCAACAGCAGCAGCAGCAACAACAACAAAGACAGCCTTCCAGACCTCAACCCATTTACTACGTGCAACCTTCAAGCCTGGATAGCAGTGGAGCACTCGCCAGTAGTCAGATCGACGCCTTCTTAAGGGGGCATAATATTCAGTTCTAGATGAAGTAGAATGTGGTTTTGTGAAATATTTATATGACATTTGAACTCTTTTGAGGTTTTAAGCTAAGAAAGATTCCGAAGGATCTGGTAAACGAAGGGATGACCTTTTTTATGAAAATCAAGTGGAATATGCGTATTTCATATTTTTCAAAGTTTCATTTCTTGAACTGGAATGTCTTCGAGGCAAGATTCCTTATAAACGTCTACAAAACTATAATTAGTCAAAGATCATTTAAAAACACACTTTTTACAATTAACAAAGCCTTGGTGATACTAAACATAGTTCTAGTAACCAATACTGCCTTGTTGATTTGAGAGTATAAAAAAGGTTAAAAATGACTCAAATACAAAGACATCATTGAAAATAATTTCAGTAACCTAATAGTTACCTTGAAAGTATTATTATCGATGAAATATTGAGCCTTTTGTATATATTACGAATTATTACTATCTGTGTATTATAGTAGATAATACTTTTATTTATCTAGTTTAGTTTTTTACACAACTGCTCTTTTGTAATTTTCAAGAATTAATATGGAAATAAAAATTTTACGTAATTACACGAACCTTTTTTACCTGCGTTAACAACAAGGAACCTACAATCAGTTTTGTACCAAAGCATATTTCACATATGGACTACCCAGTACATTTTCCCTTGAGACTTAAAATATACTCAGTGACACTAGAAATGTTACACTCGGAAAAAAGAATTTCTTCAACTTGTTTTTTGGCAACATAATGACTATATACCTAAAGCATGATGTGGCAACAATGTCGACGTTTTATCTTTGTTTTTGTTCACCTTTTTTAAAATGTTCTCTTAGTTTTTGTAAAGAAAGCAGTTTCTGACAGCTGAATAGTTCAGATATTTTAACTTATTGCCCTTTCATTAACTAGTGTTATGCATAACAATATGCCTGAAGTTTGAAGACGTCCAAATTACCCTAGCGACTTTGACAGGGGTAGAATTATTGTCCATCGAAATGTTGGTTTGTCCTATCGCGAAATTGGCCGCCGTGTTAATTGTACTGCTATGACGGTAATGTGTGTGTGTCGTTGTGGCGTGTGTGGATGGAAGAAGGTGGAGGAACACAAAGAAGGCCAACTGGTCCCCAAGGCGTACCACAGAGCGCAAGATAGGCGCTTCAGACGATAATGTCATGCAAACCACTTTACTGCCGTATCTAGAGGACCGTCCACACGTCTTTTTTCAGCAAGACAGGACTTTCTTCAAGAGGCAGGCGTTAATGTTTCACCAGATTTAAATCCCATCGAAAACGTATTGGATGATGGGGAGAAGACTGTCCACTTCTGCACCATCCGCCACGGACTCTGCCACAGCTAATCCACAAAGTTCGAGTTACTTGGAATGAGGTGCCACAAAAAGTCATCGATCATCTCATTTTGTCGATGCCCAACACATTACTAATTTTTTTTCTATTACTTGTCAATAAAATTTCGTGAGAATGTTATAGTTTCATTCTTGATGTAAGACTATCTCAATGACAAAAAATCAAGTTGAATAAATTATATTTTCTGGGTGTAACACTTCTAATGTCACAGAGTACATTTTCAATACTCGCGCCGAGCGCAACTAAGAGAGAAGATAAACATGTCGCTAAGTGACTGCTGCCGCTAGCGATGTTGCGATACTGTAATACATGTATCGAATGTAAGGGATGAATCCTAGGTCTTCAACACCGCATACGTTGTTAGCCAACGGTGTGAACTAATATATTTTTCTTAAAAATGATAATGATAAACGTAAGAGAACACTGGGATTAGCCAACATTGTTCGTGGCGATGTGTTTTTGATTTCGAAGCGACGATGAAAGATTTACAGCGCTTTAGCGATGTTACAGAATTACAACTTACTCTTTTCTAATAACCACCTGTTCAAAGTTCCCAATATAATCCTTGTGCTGAAAGAACTGTTGTCAGCATTTCGAGGTTCGTGCTGTGACGCCATTTGTTTCGCCCTTGAACTACCTAAAGCAGTAGTAAGAACAATGCATAGTGCTCAAAGTTCGATGAGAAGGTTAAACGGTGACAAAAGTAAATTGCACCAAATTACACACAGTCGGTAATAACATGCTTGAATTAAGGGTAACTGCATTCCTGTATTCCTGACAGGAGAGTCGCTCCCCGAGTCAGTCTCGATAGAAAATCTACGGCAATTGCCCATCAGTCTCATCTGAAAAGGCGAGGTTAACTTTGTGACAGTCAGCAAACTGATAGTCGGCGACAAGTCATGATTTAGTTTATTCAGTTAGTTGTTACTGACTGTATATACTGTGTACACGAGAACGTTACGAGTTGGATGAGGGAGCTTGGACCCAATACAAAGATATTTTCTTAAACTACGACTATATAACACTGATGCTGGCTGGGGTGAAAACAATATTTGCCCTATATGTGCAGACTCTCACTGAAAGAAAGAAGTAAAAATACTACAAGGATTTAATAGCGTCTTTGAATAACAAAGGGTGAATAGAGACTAAAAAGCTAAAACTGCTGAGCATAATTACAATTACCAAGATCAGCTCACATACCTATAAGTTTCACAGAGTTCCCAACATGGACAAAAAGACATGACACTACGAAAATACAAAAACTCGTCAAGAGACAATCGGTAAAGTCTGAGATGGCAAAGTGATCATCATGACAACTAGCAACACTGGTAGGAACAAAACAATCGCGTTATTCCGCATTTTGTAATTGTAAACAGAATTTTGGAAATATTAGTGTTGCCAAAAAATTAGCATTAATTATGATTCTTGAAAGTTCTGTCCTCTAATGTTCAGATTTTTCACACTGAATCTAGGAATTGCATTTCTGCCATTTCAGTGCCAAAAAACAAAATATTGAGCATGCATCACTTTGACAGCTTAAATTAATTTGAGATTCATCAAATACTTGATGCCGAATATATGAATAATTGACTTAACACCGCAACAGTACAGCTATCACCAAGGTCTGATTTATGAATTTTGAGGTGATTATTATCTCACCAACCTGTATAGAGTAGCTTCCTTTTCTACTAATGTGATAACGGATCATCCTCTGGTTTTTCAATCTTCGTATGGGATCCATCAAGCATGCCAACGATTCCAGGAAATCTATTTTCTATTGTACACATACTGCTTTGTCCTATACATTTCTTCTTTTGCTGGCCATTTTATGATTTCTTGTGCCACGCACTCAAGAAGTTTGTCAATCTGGATATAACTGCATGCAGGGTACTCACGGAAACACTGAACCTGTCACCTACATCCCCGAAGATGGCTGTTTGATATCCAGCAAACCATAAAACTATACAGGTTCCTTTATACGGGGTTAGTTTTGCAAATGGCGCTGCCTCATATTTAAAATGGAATTCCATTGACATTTTTTCTGCGACTTTCTTGCTCACTCGAAAAAGTTACAAAAACTCGTTACTGATGAGTCGTGGCACTGTTTCGTCCACAAATTTCAAGTTTTTGGGTTTCATTCTCTCTTCCCAAGTATTCGCTGCTTAGTATATCGCTCATATTTTGTTTACTCCGAAGCAGCAGCGCAGGCAAACACTAAATTCCAGGTCAGCGAGGCTGCTATGAGGAGCTTAAAGAAATTTTATTAATCAGATTTTTAAACTGCCTAGGGTTGGTAGAACTGAAAAAAGCCTCCTCATCCCAACCCCACAACCTTCAAGTTGGGAGGCCGAAGTGAGGTGAGACTGTCTGACAGGCTATCGCGCGGCGAAATCATCGAGGAGAGCTCTGAAGAGCAAAGCCTTTAGCTTAGCGGCAGAACAGAGCTAGATCGCCGACGCCCCACCGGTGTGAAAGTGTTCCCAGACTGTCCGTTAGAGAAGAGTCATAGATCAGTAAATGATTATGTTTCTGATACCCGTCACTGATTGACTGGCGTTCCCTGACTGGCGAGAAATATCTGTACGAAAAGCGGACTAGCTGTCGGCAAAGAGTCAGAAACTGTACGAACAGGTAACATCTCCCTGATTCTGATTTTGACAGTCACTGACAAGTTACCGACTACTTTACGAACAAACCTTATATGTAGAACGTGGGAACATATTATTTTGCCGAAAATGGATGCATTCAAATACGAGTACTTTTTTAACAAATGTGAACAGCTGTCAGAATTTGGGATCATTCTATTCTACTGCACTCAAGAATTGACACCCATGTCTATCTTCAGATAAGAAGTAGTTAAAAGAGTAAGCTTCTCTCACTTAGATCGCTCTATGACTCCGCTTTGTGAAATCATTTATGACTTTTTGATATCTTATTTCACAGATACGATGCGTAGATATCATGTATTACTGATTTCTAAGAAAATGTGGGTAATAGTCTCAATGGTTCTACTTTATAATGAAAACGTGGAAAATTAATTAGTCGAGATACAGAGCATGCTGTTGCTCAAAATTAGTAAATAAATATGGGAATTGTTATCAAAATCACAACACCGTGGATTTAATTATTTAATTAACCCAAAAATATATTTGTACAAAAACACATGATATAGATAAAGTCGATTCATAGAGACGATTCGAAATATATATATATGAAATTTCTCAAATGATATAAAGACAAAAAACATTTGCAATAATAAATTAGATTGTGATTCCATCCTTCAGTTATAGCAAAACCTCACAGATTCTAAATAATCATACAGTCAGTTGTTAGAAGACATTTTTTTTCAAAAGCTAAAGCGAATACTCCGATATTTGCAATTATTATACGATCACTTGAAAGAAATGCTGTTAAAATGATAAACTAAATCCATGAGAAACTAAACTTCCTTGAACCATTCACCATAACCTTTTTATAATGTAGCGGTGAACTTATTTTACGATAGATATTTCAAAGTAACACAAAAACTTCACCATAATAATTAGGAATGTGCAAAATCGATTATAACGACACTATTTCAGCAAAATATAATATTCACAAACCATTACACATATCAGTGTCTCAATTTTTTTACTAAAGTGAATAGAGTGATAATACTTTTGAGTATTCTTGGAGCATAAAATAAATAAATCTAGTGGTATATGTACCAGAAGTGATCAAAAAGATGCTACACTCTACTTGCCATCCAGTTTACCTCGAATATATTGTGTAGATTACCTCGACCAATAAATGAATATAAAAAGTCTGGGCACCCGTCAAAGTAAGACTTCCAGTAAATATTTAAAAAGCGCAACCACGTATTTAACAACGCAAATAAGGAGAAAACTTGACTAAACCGTGAAGTCTTTCTACTTTTTGATCATGCCTGATATATAATTATTGTTAAGCAAACCATTATAAATAAAGAACAATAATATTTTGCAGACTCAGAAACTATCCAAAGCACATATGCTTGGATCTTTCTATTGACTCTATGATGTATACTAGATCACATTTTGTTTTATAAAATGTATAAAAAACACGTGTACATAAGTACACCTATCTAAGCAACACCATAGTATCAACATGACCAAAAGTACACTGAAATAGACACTCAATGTTTTTTTACTAGACTGAATAAATCTGAAGATTTACTAGATCCAATTTGTGGAATTTCAATATATGAAAAATATAATATTCACAAACCATTACACATATCAGTGTCTCAATTTTTTTACTAAAGTGAATAGAGTGATAATACTTTTGAGTATTCTTGGAGCATAAAATAAATAAATCTAGTGGTATATGTACCAGAAGTGATCAAAAAGATGCTACACTCTACTTGCCATCCAGTTTACCTCGAATATATTGTGTAGATTACCTCGACCAATAAATGAATATAAAAAGTCTGGGCACCCGTCAAAGTAAGACTTCCAGTAAATATTTAAAAAGCGCAACCACGTATTTAACAACGCAAATAAGGAGAAAACTTGACTAAACCGTAAAGTCTTTCTACTTTTTGATCATGCCTGATATATAATTATTGTTAAGCAAACCATTATAAATAAAGAACAATAATATTTTGCAGACTCAGAAACTATCCAAAGCACATATGCTTGGATCTTTCTATTGACTCTATGATGTATACTAGATCACATTTTGTTTTATAAAATGTATAAAAAACACGTGTACATAAGTACACCTATCTAAGCAACACCATAGTATCAACATGACCAAAAGTACACTGAAATAGACACTCAATGTTTTTTTACTAGACTGAATAAATCTGAAGATTTACTAGATCCAATTTGTGGAATTTCAATATATGAAAAATAGTACAGTTAAAACTATATAAAATAAGGAATCAAACGGGCAATCTTTAATAATGTAGTATGTCTAAAAAAGAACATGGTAAAACTTGAGTCACATCAAGCATAGGGATTCAAATACCAAAATCAGATATATAGAGAAATCCAAATATCGCTGAGGAGGTAATAAGTACGAGAGACAAACGCTATAAGCGAGCAATACGTATCTTATCACTCAGGTTGCTAGGCAACTGGGTGCTTCTTTCTCTTTCTAACATGCGTACTGCACGCTTCCCGTGCTTCTCTCTCGTTCACATTACGATGTTAGTGCTATATGGATTTCACTGTATATGAAATATTTAAGAGGAAGATATACGTTGGTTGTTGATGAATTTTTGTATCAATACTTAAGCTATCATAGATTATGCTCTTGAAACCTTATTTGAATATTTCATTTATTATTAAATTTCACAATTTTTGGTAGTCAGCATATTTTGAAAATCGATCACAATATATTTTTTGCAATACGTTTAAAGCATCAAGCTTTAAATATTGTTGATTGCTGAGTAGGTATATACATAAACACAAAAGAATGTTAATATAATTTCACTGGGTGCTCTAACTTTTGGTTAATTAAATTATTGAACACAATTTGCATTCACCTTGCATACTGAGACATAAAAATATACAAACTATATTTTACATGTTAGACAAAAATATTTATTCTGAAACAAAAATGGGGATAGTTGATTCATTCGACTAGTGTAAAAGTACTTCCGCTGTTCCCTAACGTTGAGTCAAAAATAACACGTTTAAAATATCTGGGTTATACAAGATTGTTTTCTAGCATGATTGGATATTCTCAGAAAAACATCTTCAAAATTGGACAGCTGTATTCGAATTGTTCCATTTCCGAGTCAGATCAATAAATTTGGGTGAGTTAATTATTGTGACGCGTAAAGTAGGTAATCCAATAACCCTTCTTGCCAATGGTTAACATATTTTCGCAGGAACGTAGTCAAATCAGTTGTGAACATGTAAGTAAGGGCATATCCGTGAATCTAACTAAAAAGTTTAAAAAGTAACTAAGTTATCAGGTAAAGAAGCTCGGCAACGGGGCATGCGGTGCGTCATGTCTGATCCGTTATTTGGTTTTGGTCGTGTCATGTACAGAAAGTCGAAATTTTCCGCGATTTCCAGCGATCAGCGCATCTTCACATTGCTGAACTGGTACCACGCGCACTACTGACTTGACAATTTTCCTTGATAACATAATGATAAATGATCTTGCGTGCGCTGGTAATATTTCTCTCTATAGTAACATATAAAAAATTACTGGGACTTGGAGTTTGAGTCTTCGCTGTAATCGTCGCTACTGGATCTGATATCTCCTTCCATTTGACCAGCATTCAACGAATTGTACGCTATTTTCAGAATGAGGTACGTCCAGAAGATATGCAGTACCAACAACAGCACCAATAGAGAGTTGAAAATGTAGTACGCCGGGAACATAGGTACCACTTTCGGTGCATCGTAAGATGTACTGCGAGGAAAAAATATTTCTTATATACATATACATACATGAGCCTTTATTTGTTTTAGACACAAAAGCAAGCAGACAATGCTGCTTTAATCAGTGGTAGATATGGATTTTATTGTAAGCTCAATTTACTGTTTGAAAATCGCTTTAGACATATTTTCGCAAAAACTAAAATATCGCGAAAAACAACATATACTCCAAATCATAGCCAATGAAAAAGAGGTGTGACCACTCCATAAATGTGTATGCAAAAACACGGAACGAAATATTACTTACTTTTTTATAATCCAAAATGGAAATATCCCTATCCTAGTAGTAATCCATACAATTGTAAAAATAGCGAAAATAACATCACATATCCTTTGGTATCCTGAATATTTTGCCATTTTGGCAGCCTGAAAACAGAATTGTTCAATTACCCAACAACTAAAATAACCGTATTCAGGTTATTATGAAAAAAAAAACCAGGCCAACTGATAGTTTCGGTTGAGGAATAAGGAAGTCAAGTGAACATGATCACAATGCTGAAATGGGAAAGAAGAAATGATGATGAGACAGGACAAAAAATATAAAAGGATATTTACTTTTGAACATTATGATAAAGAGCACCTTTAACAACTGAAATTGTTATTTTTGCGTTTACACACATACATATAAAATAATAGGATTTAGCCTGATCCAGCTAAAATGTATTATTATTGTATGCTATTGTTCCAACCTGGAATTACGTTACAAAACGCTGTCTCGCAGCAATATGCCCTCTGGTAAAACGGGAGACAGGCACTTAAGCATGTGGAGCATTGCTACCAAATATAACCATTGTTGCGTTAATACTCCTGTTAATGATATGATATCAGTGGTAAAAGTATGATAGTGGAAATTAGATAATTAAGTAGTTTTGTCATTCTAGGTAATTACTAAATTCACTACATAACAACATTGAATTGGTTGTAATCATACAAATGATATAAAAACACATGTAGGTAACGTGAAAATAATTGGTTTCCTTTCAATACCAGTGTCTGCTCAAGTTATAACTGAAAACTACCAATTTTTATCAATTTTCTCTCAATTACTGCAATCTTTCTCAGTGCACCAAGCTTTAAAATTCCACTCTGTTACGCTCTGCATCTTCTGTGGATTTAATGACATTTTGACATTTGTGTTTTGTGGTTCATGATAGTTCAGAAATAAATATTATCTCCAATTTTCTCCTACTGGGGTGTGTTTGTAAATCACTTGGTACTGCAATACTATACACAGTAATGATATGTAGATTGATAGATAAAATTTTACTCTGGAATACTGTGCAACTTTATTTTTACAAAGCTTAAATTATTACAGAGACACTCGATGACAGCTCACTAATTTCTAAACCGTTTTCTGCGACCATTACTTACAGCAGTACAAAGTACACTTTGTAAGAATTCACCAACGCAGCCCTCATGTTCATCGGTGATAGCACATGTTTAATTCTAATAGGTTATGAACCCAGAGCGTTTTTGAGTCAAAATTTTGTTATTTTGAGTATACGAGACACAAGAGATGACTACAAATTTTCTCGTGTTACGAAGCTATGTGGCGGGGAAAATCACGACGAATTGTCGTTTGCCGTCGAAAGGTCTCTAGTGCTAGATAGGCTGAAAACGTGTTTGCGCACTGTACTTGGTTGTCATGGAAACGGATGAGACCAGGGTGGCGCAAGCAAGATCAAGGATAACTTTGACGACTGACTTCGGTTTATATGTGCACGTGAAGGAAATGAAAGATGCTAAGGGTGTCCCGGAGAAACTGAAAAATCTTTACGAAGATACTGGATTCAGCAGAAAAATAAGTCTGTTGAGGTCGTTGATTTTTATCGGAAGAGAAAATTGTCAATCAATGGGTGAGTACGTAAATAGTATGGTTGAAGCTGCCCAAAAGTTGACAAGTACCAGATTTACCAGAGGTGATAGATGGGTTGACTTTGTTACAACTTACAGAGAAAACAATACATATCGAACAAAATAATTTGTTCATCGTATAACAAATAAAATAACGATAAAATTAGAAAAAAAAACATTTCATCAGCTGATACAAAAAAATGAAAAATTCTTAATTAGCTTCTCATTCGCTAACCACGAGTTAAGACACATGATGATCCTAACGGATTTATGGCTTACTCTGTTGAGGGGTTCACTAGATGTGGAAATGCATTTTAATGCCTTTTCCACCACTCGTGATTATTTCCATTAAAATACAAAATACGGCTCATCGCAAGTATCATGTAGTTTGAAAATGCTTGACCTCAAGTCAAGTAGAATAATAAAAAAATCAAGTCAAGCATTAACGTTTGAAGAAATTTTACTGTCAAATCAAGGTTTTTATAAAAATAGCAAGCTACTTGATTAAGTCCTACGCCTGGGGAAAATGGCAATGCATACCGTATGAACAGAACCTAGAAAAGGCAAGGTGTTTGCTGTTTGACGCCAACTTGAGAAAACAGTTTTTGGCAGAGGCGGTCAACACTGCTGTTTATCTACGGAATGAGGGTATTGGTGCAAGTCTGCACCAATAGAGATATGATCAGGAAAAAAGCTAGATTTGAGCCATGTAAAATTTTTTGGAAGCACCGCCACGTTCCAAAACAAAAAAAAAAATAAAGTGGGACAAAAAATCACATAATGGTTTTTGTAGGATTTAGCGACACCACAAAAGGATACTTTATGATCGAGAAATGTGATTGTTAGCCATGATGTCACTATCATTGAGGAGAATAAAGAAAATGGAAAGTTGGGGGTTAACTTGGACTGATTCTCATGGTGATAGCGCTTATTTTATTTTACTAATATTTTTGTGACAAAAGATACGCTATGAAGAGCCTGGATTTTTCAAGCTATACAGACCTCTATGTCAGTTGTCCCTGCTGTGATTCCGAGAATTACTCGGATCAATTTTGTATATACATGCTTTATCGAAAATAGCAATACACCGTTTTTGTAACTTCTTACTCATAAAAAATATATAGCTCAGAGAGAGACATATGCAACATCCTTATCAAATTTACCCCTCTAAAGACCTGACATGGGCAATGCGATCTTATACGGGTGATAAAAACTGAATCCACTACTTTGACCTAGATCTAAATTTGATCTAATACGCATGCATATCTATCTATCAGCTCACCTCTAAAAGTATATCAGCACAATCGTGCACCACAAGTACCAAGGTACCAATCCTGAAGACGTTCACCACCCAGGAAAGGCACATCAGCACAATGGTGGCTATGTGGTGGATAAACATCTGCCAGAAGTCTTTCCTCTTGACATCAAAGAATTGGCTTATGCACAGGGACCAGTAAAAAGCCATGGAGATCATGTAGTACCACCAGATGTCATTGGTCACCGATTGGTGAGGAAAACCATTCCTGAGAAAACAGTTAGTATCAGGTACATAAATTCTTTGGTACACGAAAATTCTAAGCGCCATTAGTAATAAATGGTATATAAGGAATGCCTATTATAAATTATTTAAACCCCTTAGATCCTTAGAATTAGTTGACTATGCCCTAAAGTAGTAGTAGGCAACCTTTAAGAGGCAAGGGCCACAAGGTGGCAAAGTAAATATAACCACTTATATGACATTCTTTATGTATTTAGTCGCGTAATTATAATAATTATTTATTTAGTAAGTAAATCTAGGCATATAACACTCAGAAACAATAAAGTGGCAGGCCGCAATTAGAGAGCCGCAACCCCCTGCCCCAAAGTAAATAGAAAGTTGACAACTCCCTCCCCTCCAAAAGAAAAACCAACTTTTCGCGAAACTGCTACTGTGAAATTCAATAAAGATTTCTGGAGTCAGTATCACAATAACCTCGTGACAAAGTTTCGACAGACAGGCGGAAAAGGGTGACATACATGGTTTTTCGTGATGTAGGTATATGGTACATTCATGTCATGCAACATAACACTGATATTACCCTGATTTCTATTATGAAACAGATCTCATTTAAATCATCCATATTTCCCACTAAAGCAGTCAGCCAATAGTAACTCATTTTTCGCCGGATACCAATCGGACGTGATCATACCTTTCATGTCAATGTCAAATAATCATAAGTGTCACATTCTAGGAAAATGGGGTGGAAAAACTCTGGAGAGGGCAAGTTTTGCAACTTCTCGTTCATAAAAGAATGATAACGCGCTTTGTAGACGCCAAATTTCGTGTCGTTAGATTGAAAAAAAATATGAAAATATTCCGTACAGAGAAGCAGGCAGGCTAAAAAGACGGATATTTCGAATCTACATTTTTAAGACTTCAAAATCGGGAACGCCTCTAATTCCAGATCGGAACACATTTTTAAGTCGATTAGACTATAACAAGCTGCTCGATCATAACAGCCCAGTGAATAATTTTGGTGAATACACAAAGCTTGGAGCTATTACTTCCCAAGAATACTGTCTAGGAAGTACTGTAATTGCGATTCGAAAATGTCACTCATATCCATTGACCTGTCTGTCTGTTGGCATGTCAGTCGGTGTGGCTAACTGTGCGGTGTGTTGTTCTGTCCTCTAATCCTTGGCCCGTCTATAACTTGAAAAGTACCGATCGGATTTTGATGAAATTTTCAAATAACGTTATTATGACAAGGACGGAAAAGCTTTGTGGTTTTTAATAATCAAGCTTCGTTTTTTGATGTTTCAGAGGATCCTCACTATTTTTAAGAAAAATTTCAGGAGTACAAAATTGGAGCGTTGTAGGGGGTGGGGGGAGTGTATATCTCATTTTCTTGATAGTATATTTATACGTACAACCTTGGTAATTCTACGTACCTATTAGACATATTGTACATTTGCACTTGAAACTTGGAATGGTAGAGAAATATACTCAGTGACATTAGAAGTGTTACACCCAGAATAGTTGTTTAACCTGATTTTTTGGCAATGAGGTAGACTAACATCAAGAATGAAACGATAACATTCTCACGAAATTTGACTGACATGTAATAAAAAAATAATAATACACTCCTGTATACATCTAGGCAATGACAAAATTAGATGATCGATGTCTGGTTGAGGCACATCATTCCAAGCAACTCCAACTTCGTAGCCGAGGATAGTCTCCTCTCCATCGTACCCTACACATGGTTGATGGGATTTAAATCCAGTGAACGGGCAAAACACCTGCTTCTTGAAGAAAATCTGTAGTACGACGAGCAATATGGGCACGTGCGTTGTCTTGCTGAAAAATCACGTCTGGACGCCCCTCTAGATACGGCAGTAAAGTGGTTTGTAGGACATCATCAACATAACGCGCAGCAGTCATACTGCCTTGAACAAAGAGAAGGGGTGATCGGCTACTGCACCTCAAACCATTACTCCAACAGTTGGAGAAATTATTTTTTCTGGGTGTAACACTTCTATGTCGTGAGTATCCTTTCGATCGCATCCCGGCACCTGCCTTGATAGGTATTCTGGCCTTACTGCAGCGTCTGGTGCGTTGTGAGGTTAGGTATCGGGGAGGGCAGACGGTGCCAGATCGACTACGGGTAGGGCAGGGAAAGAATATCTATGCACTAATTGTGTGAGCCTGTTTGAGTAGCTTGATCTGTTTATCTCTGTTATACATGTTCGTAACTTTTTTCTCAAAGGGACTAACTTGTGCTGAATATAATAGTTTATGAACTTAGACGTTGCGTGGGAAGTGCAAAGTCAACCTACTCGACGCCATTTTTTCATGTATTAATAATAAAGCATATATTGTTCAACAGTGTACACCATTTACAGAACAATGAGTAATAAAAAATAATCGATGTACTAAATTTACCTAGAACTAATTTTAGAAAACTACAAACTGACAGGACACAGTTCTTCTTTCTGAAAAGCTGCAGCAGAAAATGTCACAGACGTTAGACAGCTTATGCGCGCTCGCACACATGATTAATAGGTGCTTTCATTAACATATTTGTTTCAACTCTTTTACATAAAAATATGCAATGGTCTGATGATTAATAAAAATTGTATAGGTTGAAAAAAATACTATTAAACACTATTACATAGATAATCTTGAACTCAAAAACAGTGATCAAAATACTATCTCAGCATATATAAGTGCAAATGAAACATTCAAGTTTCCTATTGTTTCAAAATACTTCTAGATAATTCTCCTGTCGATATGCATTCCATCAAACCGCATTCATTACAATCACTGTGCGCTATCTCACGATACAGACAATAAACGAATAAACTGTAATATTTCAAATGTCCATTTTAACAATAACAAGAAGCTCGTTATCAGTGGTAGTTACAAATAGACAACACGGCAGTTTGTGCCGATTACAACAACCGCATTGTTAATTTTGATTAGATACAAACGCTTCTGGCCATGTTGGAAACACTGAAGAAGGCAAAGTCATTCATAGGCATTACAAAAACCAAAGAGGAATTGGACCTGTCGGAGACCTCTCATCTTAGAAGGAACTCGCCGATCAACAGTACTATGCCAATACCGATAAAACATTCGACCAGGTAAAAAAAACAAATATTCTTTTACTTTTCACGCCAAAAGCAGTCACGACTACAATCACTCGCACGTAGCACTAAGGGCCGAATTGTCAGTCGTTCCTACAATTGTAGGATGCTTCTATGGCCTCCTTGACATAGTCTTTTCTCTCCTTCAGAAAGGCTGAAAGAAATTCCTATATTCCTACTGTTCCGTGTCAGCGTCAGCGCTCTCCTAATGTGAGGCTATGCTTTCTTTTTGAATTGTAGGAAATTTTAGACTGATATAACAGATGATATAAATCAAAAGCATAAAGAATTTGATGCCAGATATTTGTAACATAACCTCAAAATGGAGCGCTGGCACAGAGCACTAGAAAACTATGGAAATCGCGGAGGCCATAAAGGCGTCCTACAATTGTAGAAACAACTGACGATACGGCCCTAAAAGAAATTTTTGACTACGGAATTTATTGAATCTATTTTCTGGAATAAAGTACATAAATATATTAGAATCATATACAATGTGTTTGGTCACGACATACCGATATTTGAGAGGGATATTTTTCAGCCATTTTTATCGACAAATCCACCCCCTACAATGTCATACCTCACCCCCCTTGAAATGGATCCATACCGCTGCGAACGAAATTAGGGCTGACACGGAGATGGGCTGCCGCTCAACACGACACATTGTTTAAGAACAGCAATGTGCATAACCAATAATGGAGGACATTTTGAACAGCTTCTGTAGCATTAAACATGTCCAAACTCTCTATAAGAAGCATTGGTTTGTCATTTTTATGTATTCAAAGTTTGAAAACAATTTGCATTTTATTACACCTATTTTGACCCATGTTAGATAGCATTTATTGCTTAACGTAGAATACTTAGGATAACAAAAAGCTGTAGAATTAGCACAAAAAAGTACAACTTCATAGACTAGTTCTTGAATGGTGTGCGGAAATGCACAAAATAATTGTCTGTTTTTAAGTATGTTTGACGGTTAGTATCAAAACAAGTTTTTCAATAATCGCTAGGACAACATGTCATCGTTCAAATGACACCAAATTCATCATTCTGTGACAATTACTTATTACAATTTTCATACATCCACTACCGTAATCGTAACGTAAAAATAAAAATTGCTGCCATTTCAAGGGGGATGAGGTAGGACATTCTAGGGGGGTCGATTAATAGCTGAAAAATACCCCTCTTAAATATCGGTATGTCGTGACCAAACACATTGTATGAGTACCGCTGCAGGATCTAAATAATGACGTACAATATCTCATTGAAAATCCCAGATTAGAAACAATATATACAACCGTAGTTCAAGTCTGCTAAACAGTGTAACAGAGTAAATTCAGTATGTCCAACAAGTACTTCTGCAGTAGTATTAGGCACCTTTTGGAGAACAACCATTTTTAAAAAGATAACTCCTTATCATTAAAACATCCGCTACAAAACGATCATATTTTAAAACATTTTATTTCTCATTATCCTCCCCCCAATGCTTCAACAGTATTAATTTAAGAGATTATTTTCCACAGATCTGATCTAAGTAAAACCCAAGAAAACCTGAGAACTTTGAGCATGCAATTGGGCACTTCGAAGAGGCTGAGCAACAAGCACACATCAAAAGACACTTTATTACGTGAATTTTCAAGACTCAATATTACAGAAAAAACATCAGATACAAGACTGTCTACAGAAAGAAGGTCATGTGTGAGGAACAATAGCTTCAGTGCTTCTCAACACTTTGTCATGAAAATGGATAGACAGTCTAGTAATTGTAGTAGGTGTAACTCATTTAGTGTCAAACCAAAACCTGTAGAAGTAGTAAAGACTGTACCAAACAGAAATAATAATGTAGCAAAATAATGTTAGTATATGGAGGGTTTAAAATATTTAAAATTCTATAAAATTAGGTTAAGCATCAATAAACACCCTTTCACTGTAATATAATTTACATTTTACAAATCTGAATTAACAGTTACAGTTGGAAGCAGAGATCCAAAACTGCATACACAGCTATCCAAGAAAATGTCAAAAAATAAAAAAAATCAGTTTGTGATACAAAATCCACGCCAAAAATCGTACATAGGTTTATGAAATTGACCCATTGGCAAAAATAAGATGTGCGGTTAATGAATCTCCAGCTTACAGCTCCTCATGTGGTTTTTGATAACAAAACAAAATCCAGTATTATATTTGGATCATTTTCATTCATTCAGTCATCGACACAGAACAAGAGCAATTTTTAGTTTAGCAAAATGTAATTGTTATTCACATACTAAAAGCGTAGTGTTAGCCTACTTGCACACACCGATTTTGGACGGCCGGTAAAATATCGGTCTACCACATTTTGATAGTAAACCATTGGAGGGCATTGAAGCTTGCACATTGGCCGACCACCGACCAGCCCGAAAAAAGCCGGTTAGCAGCCGGACATTGTCACCGTAATGCGCCGGTACCGGGAATATACAGGATTTGTCCGGAAAGTAATAGGACTGAGTCGATTTAAAAAAATTATTGAGCCAATCGTTACAATTCTTTAAAAACTTTCAAAATAGGCTCCTTCTGCGTCTATGTAGCGCTGCCAGCGCGATTTCCAAGCATTGAAGGCGTCACGGAAGTCATTCTCCGGAATAGCCTTGAGAGCCGCGGTGCATGCTGCTTGGATCCCCTCTGTCGTCTCAAAATGCTTGCCTTTCATCGGCCTTTTCAGGCGAGGAAACAAAAAAAAGTCCGGGGGGCACATCTGGGCTGTAGGGCGGCTTCGGAAGCGCACTAAGGAGCATTTAAGCTTGAAAACCGGTCAAAAATCTTTTATGCGTTCTTTATCATTAAAAATGAATAAAAATGCATGTGTAGTTAAAAAAAAGGAATATATTCATTAAAATTAGTAAAAAAGGCAAAATTATTAAAAATTATTTCTATTCAGTTTTGGACTTTATGTATAGTCTTAAAAAAGACTAGTCCTATTCATTCCTATTCAGCATCAGTTTGCACTTCTTCGTCACTTGTTACATTTAGATCTTCCGCTTCTAAAAGAGCGAGCGTTTCCGTTGAGAACCGTTGTCTTTTTACTTGCTTCCTTTTTCGCACGCAACTTAGAAAAGGGTCCGATGTGAGTAATAGTCTGTTTAAAACATCTTGGTTGCACTGCGTTCTGGAAAATTTCCTGCCAAAATCTGTTCTATAAGATCGATAATGCTTGTTGCGGGCTTCTGCAGCCTCCTCCGACAATTGCCCGATAGGCAAGATGGCATGTTTTATAACTGTAGAGCCATGCACAAGGATTTTGTGTAGGGTTGGTGTCATTGGGTGCCATCCGTAGAGGTTGACATACAGGTGTGCAGTTTCTTCACAGTATTGCTCAAATTTTTGAATGTTTATTTTGTATCCAGAAGATAGTTTCTAAAATAGTCTTGACTTTTTTTATGAATTCTATGTCAATACCGGTTATTTCTGCAGCCAGGTCTGGGTCACTAAAAAACCTTCTTGAAGTGTTCCCCGAATTGGAGTTTCCATAACCGGCTTTTGGCATGTCTATAATCAAACCAGTTTTTTCCCTATATTCCTTATAGATTCTGTTTTTGTTTTCTTTTACGACTTTTTTTTCTTCATCTGTACGAGCCTGCCATTTCTGTAGAGGAAGTTTGTAAGATACGTGTAAAATAGTTTCGAATAAACGTATTCTCGCATGTAGAGTGGACAAGCCGAATCGTAATGATTCGGGATCTTCAGCACTTTTATTTTTTAAATTGTTGAAGTCTTTGGATGTTTTGCCACATATGTAGCAACGCATAGTAGATGTTGTGCCGGTTACCGCATTGCACACTTTAGCATCTACCATTGTGGGAATTAAGGTATGTCGCACATCAATGTCTCCCTTTGAACATAAGTTTGTTATTTTCGTCACAACCAGTTCTTTAGCTTGATCCTCGACGTATTTTATTTCCTGTTTTGTTACATCCACGGTTTCGTGTAAAAACTGAATACGTATGGGCCGGCAGAAACGCGTGGATGAGGGTGTAGGATTTTGCCATAAAATTTTGATTACCTCTTCTTTGTGGTATTGCAGCCTCAGTGGAACCAAAGAACTTTGGAATAGATTGGCATCGTCGCGTGAGCTATCGGTAAACTTCTGTTGAAACTGTTTCTGTTGCGAACCATCACATCCCCATTTTATTATGAGTTCTAAATTCTTTAATTCCGACTCAGCCAAATGTTCGAGCGCTTCTTTTAGAAAAAGACAAAGTCTTGTAGCAGTGTGGTCGACTAGATCCTGAAGTATAACTTCGGCACCCGTTTCAGTAACTCGCATTGACTCTTCTTTCGGATAACAAACTTTTTTTGCCTCTCTGATAAGAGTGTAACAAGGAAACACGCCTTTATTTGATTCATGTAGTAGCTCCCACTGACTCCTAGTAAAATCGCCTTCAACAAATATCGATAATGCCTCTTCGGGTGTGTACTTCTTGATTTTTGTATTTCGAGCCATTTCTAAGGTTTTTTTATACTTTTTTGCTCTTGTTGGCGTACAAGTAACATCTCTTATGATTTTAGATGCTGAGGCATTTCCTGACATCCGCTGACTAACGCTAGCTGCATACGTTAGCTCCTCGACAGAAACTTGTTCCCAAAGTTCCTTTGTTTTACGCCGTTTGCTTCGATCTGACAGATCCTGAAAGTCCTTATTTGGCCGACCTGGCTTAGTAGGAGTATGTGTCCAATTATGTACTGATATTGAAACTTTAAGCCATTCGTCGTTATTTTTAGTGAATCGTTCCTCAATATAGAATGCCGACTTCCATCTCTTCTTTAGTTCTGATTTGAAATGCCTCAAGTCGTAACTTATAGTTTGGAATTCCTCTTGTGGACATTTTGTTAATTCCCGAACTTTATTTTCCACGAATAACAATTTCTCATCTAATTTTCGCGCTGAACTCTCTTTAAAAATGTCAAATAGAGATTTCCTTGTCAATTGAATTACATTAGATGGTGCATCTGTAACAAATTAGAAAAAAAATTACATTAATAAAAAAACTGAATTTCGCCTCTGTCATTAAAACTGATGTTTTACCGAATTAGTGGAAATATGTGGAAAATAAAATTGTTCTGCAAATAAGGTGGAACTCTAACCTTTATTATAACAACAACTACGTAACTCGATCGGACTCGTAGATACGACAAAAATACCAATTTGTTGAAAAAATTATGTAAAAAAAACAATAATTACGCATGCCCTTAAAGTACAAAAAAATAAGATAAATATCTTAAATTCAAACTAATTATGGATTAAAATTAATAACATACCTGGTTTTTCACTATCCATGACAAAATTTCTGATAATTTACTTCAAATACAATAAAACAACAAACGATTGATTGTCCGAAATGAGAGCGTGTCGATCACATTGACATGCACCGCGTACTGGGACTGGGTTCCGACTACCTGCTCGCCGAGACGATGAGTTACGATTTCGTTTGAAAACCGGTTTACGATAGATCAGTTACTTGACAACAACAAAAATGCGACTTGGGTGGAATAGGGCTCAATTTATATTTTGAACTTTTGACCGATTTTTAAGCTTAAATGCTCCTTAGTGAAGCGTTGGGATGCCGGCCTTGGTCAGGTAGCTATTCACAAGAAAGGCGGTATGAGGCGTTGTCGTGGTGCAACTTCCAGTCGGCTGCGATGTCTTGTCGGACCCGACTGACCCCTCGTTTGAGTCTCCTGAGCACTTCCACGTAAAACTTGGTGTTGACGGTTTGTCCAGGAGGAACAAATTCATGGTGGACGATGCCTTTGATGTCAAAAAAGACAATGGGCATCTTTTTCACTTTGGGTTTGCTCATTTTTCACTTTTTTTGGGCGAGGAGACGCCGTCGTGTGCCACTCGGAAGATTGCCTCTTTGTCTCGGGATCATACTCAAAGATCCACGACTCGTCACCTGTGATTACGTTATTCAAAAATTGGGGGTCACTTTCACACATGTTCAAATTTTCTTGGCACACTTCCGTAATTTCTGGTAGTCATTGAGCACTTTTGGGACCATCTTCGCGCACACCTTGCGCATGTTCAAATGCTGTATCACAATGTCATGAACCACAGATTTTGGTAAATTTATCATGGCAATCAAACGAATACTTAGTCGACAGTCTGAGTTCAAAACTTTGCGCAGACGAGTCACATTATCGGTGTTTGTCGAAGTCGAAGGTCTTCCAGCACGGTCTTCATCAGCGACCTCTTCCCGGCCCTCCAAAAAGGCCTGGGGCCACCGAAACACACTACTTCTTGCTAAAGCAACACCTGGGTAAGCCTGCTTGATCATATCAAACGTCTCTGTCGCAGATTTACCGAGTTTCACACAGAATTTAATCGCGTACCTCTGCTCTAACGAACGCTGCATTTTCGGCTTGCACCACTCACAGAAACACGTCGCGCGACAATGCCTGTCCTGACTCTCCAAGTGCTCGGAGACAACTGACCAGCCGCTCATTCGTTAGCTAGGAACGCCCTCTACCGAATGCAGCCGGTGCGCGCACGCTCCGAAGTACAGTCATGGCGGAAGAAAATGAGTCCTATTACTTTCCGGACAGACCCTGTAGAGGCATACGTGTTTGAACACGCGCTTGTACATTTACCGATTGTTTAACGGCCGTGATTACGACTGGGTATACGTTTACAATGGATAAAGAGATAAACATAGATAATGACATACTTATTGCGCTAGTGGAAGCAAGACCAGTTTTATGGGATGAAACTTTGGAAATACTTAAAGACAGAAACGCTACTAGAGAAGCATGGATCCAAGTTTGCTGCGAACTGAATGGAGACCAAAGAGAAAAATGAATCCATAATTGTCCCTTAATTCTCCAACGCTTTATATGCTGGTACAGTAACCACATTGCAACAATTCGTTGGGGATTCATTAAAAATAATAAACCGCTGCGTGTGTAAGCAGAGCCTACCGATAAAAAATCGCTCAAAAGATATTCATACAGATTATAGTGATTATTAAGATGACATCTATAATTTTCGCAGCATGGATGTTTGAAAACGTTTCTTCGCCGGTTTGAACACAACCACCAGCAATAATTGTTTTTCCTACTTTCTCGCTCTAAAGCATCTAAG